ACACCCCCAGTGGACCGTTAGGGTTTGGTTTAATCCCCAAGAAAACTGGCATTAAAATAGACCTTTTCCCGGCAATAATCATCTCATTTATGATAAATTATTCTATTCTCAGTACCTTTGAGACACATGAGAGCTTTTATGTAATAAAGAAGCCATTTATTTCCGAATATTTTAATGCATGTTTCCATATTTTTCTCATTTTTAATGCAAGGGCCATTGACAGTCCTGTAAGAGAATGTCTTTTAAAAGCAAATTTATGGCAAATCTTCCAGTGAAATGGGTGGCAACATGCATCATTGCGCCGCTATACCACCAAGAAGAACAGGGCAGAGATGTTCTAATTCTCATTTATGCGCATAAAAGTGTAACCTCTACAGAGAAAGACAATGTTATTGGGTAAATTGATAAGAGATGGAAGACCTCTGGTCAATCTGTGCCCCATCCTTTGACTTGCTGTATGTACTTAGCCAGTGCTCGGTCTCGTAGGCCACATCTGAAATACAGGAAGGAGGCGCAGCAGCAGGCGCCGGGGAAGATCACGAAGGCTCCTGAGGAAAAGAAAGTCAGGTCGGAGCCTTTACGTGTCAACTGGAAAGAGAAGCTGTTTTGAAAGAGCTGAGAATCAAGGAGCAGAGAGAAGGGCCTTCGCTAGAAGTTGGATTATTTTGATTTTCTAAACTTCCATGTCAGAGCTACTTATTTGGATGCCACCACGATGGTGGTTCTTGACTGGGAAGGCAGTAGTGGGGTCTGGCAGCAGAGACAGTGTCAGCATCTAAATGTACACATATCTCTGGTTCTGTGATGCTCATTTATGCTAGACTCTTGGAGCAGAAAAATATTTTGAGACATCTCCTCAGATATGTCATTCTGATATGCTTCCTGACTAAGAACCACCGCACTAGTACAGATATGAGATTTATTTTAACCACCATTGTAGGTATTTCTAAGAGACAAGAAAGTGGATCCCTGGCCTGAGCGGTACAGCATTTCTGGGATAGGAAGCCAACTCTCATGGTTAGCTTTCCGGTGTTCTTCTGATAGAAAGCTCTGTGCCTTTTCTGGACAAGAGTACTGTCCATCAGTCATACTAAGCCTTTGTCTTTAGTCTAGCTGGTCCGAAGTCACCCTCTGGATAAACCACAAATGGGCTTGGTAAAGAGTCTATAGAGCAGGGATCTAGTTTTAGTTCTGGCCAGATGAGGCATTTTGGGATTGTCACCCAACACGGCACTAAATATTGCCTCCAGGCCTCCCAGTGCCCTTCCCAGCACCTGGAAAAGGTAAACAATGTGACAAGACAAGAGGGACAGGATAAGTCAGTATGAGGATGATTTAGTGACAGCAAAAGCTAGAAGGAAAGAGCAACCCAGGCTTTGCCCTCCTCCGTGAGCCAGGCACCGTGCTACGTGCTGCCTCTGGTAGGACGGAGACGTCTAGCAGGAAGTGTCGAAGGAGCTGGGATCATGCGGACGGTCTACTACAGTAGTGAGTAGCACGTATGCTGCGAGCCCTAGAAACGAGCAGTGCAAATTATGATGTGTTGTAAGTATAAACTGCATAGCAGTTTTAAAGATTTCGTACAAATTTAAAAAATATAAGTTACCGCATTAATAATCTTTATATTAAATATATGTTGATCTGCTATTTTAGACATTGGGTTCAATAAAATGTATTGGTAAAATGAATTCACCTCTTTCTTTTCTCCTTGTTTAAATGGGTGACCACCAGGATGCCGGGGTGGCTCAGTTGGTTAAGCATCTGCCTTTGGCTCGGGTCATGATCCCAGGGTCCTGCAATCGAGCCCCGCATCGGGGTCCCTGCTCAACGGGGAGCCTGCTTCTCCCTCTACCCCTCCTCCCTGCTTGTGATCTCTCTCTCTCTCTCTCTCTCTCTCTCTCTCATACTCTCCCAGTCTCTCTCAAATAAATGAATAAAATCTTTAAAAACAACACACACACAAATGGGAAACCACTAGAAAACTCAAAGTTCCGTATGTGAGGCTTGACCTTGGGGCTCTCATTATCCTGCTGCTGGGTGCACGGGCCTCAGACTGTTAGTCAGAGTCAGCTCTGAAGTGTGGGAGGGGAAGCGAAGACCTCTGATTGAAAGTGATGATCTGCCGTTACCCAGGACCTCGCAAACGTTCCAATGCTCTTCATATGGAATGAGCCTCTGAGTTGCTGAATGTCAACGGAGGCACATGCCTCCACCAGGGCTCCACCAAAGGCACAGGCTTTGACCAAGGGCCCCCGGGAAGAGCTCGGCATCCTCTCCCAACGGAGAGAGGAGCTGAGTCCCTGTGCAACCAGGAAAGTGGTGATAAGAAAGTGTGCGGTGCTCCAAAGCTGCGGGAAATGGCTGCAGGGGGCAGTGGCGCTAAAATGTGGGCAAGGGGCGAAGGACCTGGAGAGACCAGGAACCAAAGAGGAATCTGTGTTTGCACTTACCAACCTTGACATTTCAAAAACTGCACAGGAATTCTGTTGTAGTAAAGCAGATATTCACTGTACCCTTCAGAGTGCCCAGTCCTTTGTGAAGTGTTGCCATGCATCAGCTCCTCAAATCCTATGAAAAGCCCTATTAGGCAGGCATTAGGATTATCCCGGGGTACGAATGTAGAAACCAAGCCTTGGAACTTGCTGTTTTCACATCTGCTAAGTAGCAGAGCTGGGGCTTGAAGCTCAGAGTCTAGTCTACCCCTGCAGACCATGGTCTGCACCAAAGCACAGCTCAAAACACAGGGGCTCCAATCTCAGGAGGCTTAGGGGGCCTTGGGGAGAAGACAAGGGAGAGGGGGATACATCCCAACCATATTCCCTGGAATCATTTTCAGGACAATCCTGGGAGCTGGGACCACAAGGAAAGGAGATGGAAGTAAGTAGCTGGGAGTTGACAGTCCCTGTTTGGGGGACTGAGCCAGAAATGCAGGTACAACGTCGCCGCTGAGCATGTGGACTCTGGAGGCCACTACCTGAGTTTGAATCCCACTGTGACCGCTTCCTAACTGGGTAGCCAAAGGCAGTCCCCCAAGCTATAAAGTTGGTTAATTCTAGCAGCTGCCTCGAAGAGCTGCAAGAATTAAATGAGATAGATGCCTAGAAAGTGCTCAGTAAGGCACATAGCGAGTCCAGCAGTGAACACTGGCTGTTCTTACAACAGGGCGGGTTTGGGAGAAAGCTCTCAAGTGTGGCTGCCCATCACCCTTATCGCCACCTGCCCCCCACAGGTATGGGGAGTCAGTATGTTTAGAGTCATGAAATGTTGAAGTGCTCAAGAGCAAGCCAGCTTTGCCCTGTGGCAGGGAGAAGAGGTGCAAAAGAAAAATGCTGTAGGCTTGGGCCTTCCTCCTCAGGAGATAACAGAGTGTTGAGATGTTTGAGGACACCTCCTAGATGCTTCTCAGTGCAAAAGCTGGGGTCAGTTTGACCTTCCTTTGCCCATAGTAAGGAAAGAGCACTTTGCCCCGAGCGGGTGAAGCATCTTTTGGGGAAGAGGACTCGCCAGGTGCTGTCGGCACAGCTCCGTGGCCTGGCATGGTGAAGTGGGCCAGCAGTGTGCCCAGGAACGGCCTGTATTGGACACTGGGTGGGCTAGGTCAGCACACAGGGTAGAGGCAGGACTGAGGAGCCTCTGCTCTTAGCGGTCAGGGAGTAAAATGGTCACAGCAGGCCACAGAAAAAGAGGACCTTGGGGGGCTTCTGGAGGCTTCTTAAGTAGAAACTCTTTCCACTTATAATCCATGTAACCCACTTCCTTATCTTTGGAAGGGCTGTTTAGAAGCTAGAGATACCTAAGTGTGGTTTTCTAAGACTTGGTGCATCACCTAGGAGGAGTTACTCTGAAGCTCAGGCCAAGATGGCCGCACAGAAGGAAATTTGACTGTGGTCAGTGGAAGTGAAGGCAGCACTGGCTGTTGCATTACAGAGGGGCCACATGCTGGTTCACCTTGGATGGGAACAAAGGAGACAGGGAATCTGGGGCCAGACCTTGAAGGGTGGTCTCTCCTTCCTTCCTGTTTCTCTATTAAAGACTACATGTGGGGCGCCTGGGTGACAGAGTCAGTTCAGTGTCCGACTCTTGATTTTGGCTCCGGTCACGATCCCAGGGTCAGGTCATGATCTCAGGGTCGTGAGCATGTTGGGCTCCATGCTCAGCGAGGAATCTGCTTGAGTTTCTCTCTCCCTCTCCCTCCACCCCTCCCCACTGACACTCACTCGTGCTCTCTCTCTCTCTCTCAAATAAATAAATAAATATTTTTTAAAAAAGAGTACATGTAACAGACAGCCTAAACTCTGAGCCGAGAAAAGCAGGCCCCTGGTTACTACTGGCAAGAATGATAACATCTCATCAAGGACGAGATTCCCTATCACAACAGGGAGTCTCAAATTAGTCAAAGACTTGGAATGGTTTCCTGATAAATGAAATGTAATCAATTATGGTGACTTCTTTTGGGGATGTCAAATGTCTAGTTCCTTTCTCTTTGTTTTCTTTGGATTGCCACTGAGGTCAAGTGCAAAGTTGTTGATCTCACCACAATAGCCCAGAATACACGAGCACATCTGTGGCCCAGGACACAGCACTCAAATGACCAGATGTAAAATGTGGTGCTAAGTGAACTGAGCAGCTAGGGAGACACAATCTGGCAACAATCATTAGCTATTAGAAAGCTATATATATAATATTAGAAAAAAATATGTATATATCTTTTAAGTGATATTTTAAAAAGATATGACAACACAAAATGTTGGAGCAACTTCAACTCTCATACATTGCTGGTGGGAACAGAAATAAATATTACTTTAGAAAACTGTTTGGCAATATCTCCCGAGCTTAAACATGTGAATATCTATGTTCCAACAACTCCAATCCTGTGAATATACCTAACAGAAATATGTACAGATGTGCACCAAGACACATGTATAAGAATGTTCACAAATTCAAAAAAGCCAATACATGGACATCTCTTTTGCACGACTTCAAAATCCACTTGACCTTACCTTTGTTGTCACAGCTGATTCCAGGCAGACTTTGGTGAAATCAGTAATGCCTTGCCTAGGACCTGCAGCACATACATTGGACTTCCTGCAACGTAGCCTTTCTGACTTGGGATTCCCTTGGAAAACTCATGCACGCACAACCTGGAAGAACAGAAATTATGCTTGTGGGATCATCCTTGGCCCACGGGAGGCAGGAGCCAATGGGCAATGGGTAAATGTTTCCACTTCTGTCCTCCCTGGTGAAGTTCTGAAATGCGTTTCACAGGATTGAGCACCAGCTGACTACAATAGTGGTTAACTTAGTGACACATCCATAAATTGGGCTCCCTTCTTCCATGTCACTCTCTGTGGCCTGCTGACCAACTCCCAAGAAACACATTCTTGAACGAAGTGTTCACAGGTAAACCTCTGTCTTATGCTCTCCTTTTGGGGGAACAGGCTAAAATAGTTCAATTTGGAAAACCTCCAATAGTAGAATGAATGAATGAATTGTGGAATATTTATAGGAAGAACTGTGGAGAAGAACTCTATTCCCAAAAATGACTGGAACTCACAAATAGAATGTCAAATCAAATTGCCTAGACATAAAAGAATATATATACTTTCAAGTGCAAAGTTGTTGAATATATATATATATATATACATATATATATATATATATATATATATATATATATATTCAAAAGCAGGCAAAACAAAATTACAGTGTCAGAAGTTGGGAGAATGATTACCTTTGGGAAGGAGGAAGGGGGCCGTAAGGGAGAAAGTACAATGGAGCCCCTGGTTATACTGCCAATATTCTCTTTCTTGAATTAGATATTGTTAAGTGAAGCTCACTTTATGATAATTCCTTGAGCTGGGATTTTAGGTTTTGCACATTTGTGTTATACTTGAATAAGAAAAGTTGTTAAAAGGGCTTAAAGTCAAGATTGTGATGACTGATCTTCTTCCCCTACTCAACAATGCACAAGCTTGCATTAGGATCACCATTTAAAGCCATAGTCTATTATAGGAGATGAAAATTCCAGTGCCTTCCCTAGCCTGGGGGTAACATAGATAGGTGATGATGGCCCAGTGGGACTGTGTTTTTCTAAAGAGGGTGAATTCTCTTTAATTCCAGCTATTTAAGTTATGGTGATAAACTGGCACTCCAAAAAAAAAGAAGAAAAACAGTAAGTAAGCAAGTGAGCAAGAGGGAAGAGAGAGAGAGAGAAGGAAAGATGGAGGGAGGAGGAAGAAATAAGGAAGGAAAGAAAAAAGGAAGAAGGATGGAAGGGAGGGAGGGCAGAGGAAATAAAACTCTCATTTGTCATCCGGCCAGTATCTGTGGTGTAAACAATCCCATATGGCTGGCTTCAGGCCACCAAGTGTTTCCCAGTTGGCCCATAGCATTCCTGAACACTCTACAACTGGTTCTGATGGGCCGGTCTGAGTGGGCTCCGACACACCACCAGCCCTGGCCAAGAGCTGCCATCTGTGAAAATGGTTCCAGTGTGTCCCCATCTTGGAATTTTTCAAAAGAAGCCAGAAATCTGGATTTGTAGGTGAAAACCCTTGCTTTTTAAAATGATATCAGCTCATCTAAATTTTTCAAAAACACTTTACAAACTAAGAAAAAAAAAAAGCACATCTACAAACTAGATTTGGCCCAGAAAATGCCAGTGTTTGACCTCTGGCCACAAGCTAAACCTTTTCAGGAGAGTTTTCAGCCTCACTGATGCAGCATAACCCTTTGGATACATAGGGTGAGGACTGACTCCGAGTGGCTGAATGGTGCGGTGGGGTCCTACCTGGGTTCTGGCCCCAGTTTTCACTATTGCAATTGTTTTACTGACCCAAGCCTCAGTTTCCCCAATCGGGTTAGGATGCCTTCTGAACTTCTTGTGGCAGAACTTCTTCTCACAACTGAACTTTTAGGGTATCTCCTCGTATCAGAACCTCTAGGATAACGTAATGAGCATAAAAATCCATGAGGCTATCCTTTGGGACTGGACAGATTTCACAACATGGCAGAGATAATCCAGTGGTGCCCGGTCATTGGACAGAGATTGCAGGTCACTCATCAAAGAGGAGGTGAGGTTTCCCTCAGGCCATCAGTAGAACGATGTCCATTGGCCTGCGGGGAAGTCCAGTCTGGGTGCTCCCTAGTCCTCAGACTTCTTGATTTCTGGAAGGTGACAAGTCCACTTTCTTGAAAGGACACAGATTATGGCAGGAAGACCTGAGCCTTGGAGTTGGTCAGACTTAGGCTTGCACCGTGTCTCTGCCATTTGCTAACTAGGGACTTCAACCTCACTTTCCTCCTGAGCTCCTCCTACCTCACAGGGATTGTGACAAGAAGCATCAGCTATTTAAAGTGTCCAACTCTGTTTCTGCAACAGTGTCAAATAAATGATAATCACCACGCTCCTCATTACGATTTATCAAGGCATCTTCGTAGAGGTGCTTGACAGCCAACAGCCCAGATAGTCATGAAAATTTAATCTTATGCTTCCCTTTGTGCACTCTGTCTTCTTTACTCTGTTATTTTAGAGATCCAGCCAGAGCTAATATTTCTACAGATCCAGACAGGTCTGGACACAGATATTCTGATCTAATACAAAATTTATGGGCTCCGGAATGCTCACAGAGACATGCCGCTATGTATTCTGCTGCAGAAAATTCACATACGAGGAGGCAAAGATTCAAACTTGGAATATCTGAGAAGACAATTAGGTCCCTTCATTTGGGTTGTTAACTTATTTTGAAATAATATGTATAGGTTCCCTAAAGACAGGATCTGTAACTATATCAGAGCCTGAGACAAAGGGGAAAATCATTCATACTGATCCTGTTCTTATTTAAAAGTTTGATGTTTGTTCATCATGGCTTTTTTTCATTAATTTTTATTTTAAAAATATTGCATTAAATATTATCTTGATCACTGCATTGTTGGGTGCCTATTACATTTTGTACTGCTTCACCCGCGTCCCAGACCTGCTCTCGGTCACAGGAGTACCCTAAATCAACAGCTACTTGGAAGGATTTTTATGTTTTTGAGAATTTCTAGTTGAATTCAATCAAGAATAAAATTCAAGTCTCCTTACATAGTGAGGCAGGTTTTTGTGAAGAAAGCCTTGCACCAGGAGTCAGAAAGCCTGGCTCTACTTTTAATCTGGGCATATTAAATCACTTGAGTACCTTGCTAGACTTTTCGGAAAAGTCTGTTTCTTTGACTCTAAAATAAGGATAGGCACATGCATACTTTCTTTGCAAGGCTGGAATACCTAAATGTTTACTAAAAGAGTACATTAAAATATTCCTTTTGACTGCTGAGTTTTTTGGTATGCCCCATCCATATGTGCAAGGAGGGCTAGTAAGCATCTCCCTGTGGCTACCTCCGGGGCATTCACTGGGCTCCCCTGGTTATTCCCTGGGCTATCTGGGAAGGCTGGGTAATTAGGCTTGGCAGCTACTCAGCTAGGACCGACACTCTAATTAATTGTCCCAGGAGAGACTGCTATTAACAGTGCTGCAGGGGAACTATTAGGACCATCGTAACCTCTGCCTCTGTAGACCCAGTCTCTCTGTCACCCTCATGGAAAGGCTTCCACTCAGCACTCTTGACTCTGCAAACCTCCTCCTAATCAAAGTCTTGCATGGGTGCATCTAAGGAGGCCAGGCCTATGCTTCTAGCCAGCTGCAAAGGAATTTGGGAAAAGAAGTTTCTGGCTCCTTCCTGGGGAAATGGAATCATAAATCTGGAAATTTTCAAACCGACAAGGGGTCCTGGGAAAGTGCTGAGCTGTTAGATGTCATGATGGATGTCCCCGGGAAAGCAGAGGGGAGCGGGGGGGGGGGGGGGGGGTGGCTTTTGTAGGCTCGAACAGCATTCACGGGCGTATGTGCAAACACAGAGGCAAGGGACCAAATGTGCACTTGGAAAATCACCTCCCTCTCCCCTGAAGCCACACAGGCTTGAAGCTACCCCTTCTTGCATGTCCTGGAAACAAAAGTGTTTATGAGAACCTAGGCTGATAACTCCTGGTGTCCCATCATCCACTTCAACCCTCAGATTCCCCTATTTCCTGGTAATCTGATAATAACGTGACTGTCTTGCCCCCACGGGAGGCTCTCTGGACTCGTTAATCTAAAAATCCTTGGGAAATGCATCTGCTAAGGCCTAGAGCCAACTGTCATCATGGTCAGCTTCCAGACAGGCAGCAAAATATTTTCAAGTTCTAAAATCCTGTCCCTCGCCCATCACTTTACCTAGCCTGGCTAAAATCTCTGTAGAGGACACCAAACAAACAAACAAACAAACAAAAAAACCCCTCAAAATGACTGCCCTGTCTCTTTTATATAGATTACCAGGGGCTCAGGGCTCCAGCACAAGAAGGTGTGTGTGAAATGAAACAGTGAAGTCCCCAACAGCACGTCCTCCCCGGAAGCTTCTCCTCTTCAGCAGCTGCCTGTGTGCGTGTGCGTGCGCGTACATGTGCGTGCGTGTGCGTGTGCGTGTGCGCGTGTGTGGTTGCTTTGCTCCTTCTTTTATATTGTGAATTGATTGATACTGAGGACCAGAACGCATCTCTGCCTCCCCCCACCCAACACTATCTCAAAAAAGATAGTTAACAATTTTTTTTAAATAACTTTTATTTTTATGCAATCATCTTCCTTTACTCCTTTTCATCACAAATGTGTTGGTTTTTCCACAGAAAGAATATAATAAGTGGTGACTATATCCTAAGGGGAACATCACAAAGGCCTATTGAGTCAATAGTATTGTGGACAGTTGTTTATTGTAGAGGAAGGAGATAAGAAAACTCTTTTTTTTTTTTTCTACACTACTACTTAAAATCAATACTCCCAAGTAAGAAATTATTTCAGAAAGATTCTATAACTTGAAGGAGGCTGGAACTCGAAGATCAGGTCGCTTCAGAGGAGAAGCAGGAAGCAATGGAGCATCTGTGGGTTCCTTAAAAGACTCTACAGATGGCAGGGCGCCTGGGTGGTTCAGTCAATTGAGCATCCAACTCTTGATGTCAGCTCAGGTCATGATCTCAGGGGCGTGAGATGAGTCCCAGGTTGGACTCTGCACTCAGGGGAGTCTGCTTGAGATTCTCTCTCTCCCTCCCCTGCTCATGCATGCTCTCTCACTC